GAGATGGTTTTTGGTACTTATACCGCAAATATATATTCTTAAGGACATCAAAACCTAAAATAAAACTCCAGAAAGGTGTCAAATATGTGACCTTTAAGAAAATATGTCAATAAAGGTTAAAAAATTTTATTCACAATTTGTACAGTGTCCCAACTTTTTTGGAATTGGGTTTGTATTTATTAAACGTTATTATCATCTTTCATCTATAATAAGCCTTCAGCCTCAGTATGTTTACATTACCATTCAAAGGTCTACTCTAGGAGATCAGAAGTGACAGTAAAGTCTTTGTTACAAAAGATTTCTATATCAAATAAATGTTCTGAAGACTAGAGTAAGGGCTGCTGCAAATTCAGCTTTGCCATCACAGGAATAAATTATATCTTAAAATATTCCAAAAGAAAAGGTTTGTTGCTTGTTTGCTGCATGTTTGATCACATAAATGCAGTATTGATAACCACAACAACATTTTTTAAATATATTTTAAAAATCTTACCGACTCCTAAATTCTAAACGTTAGTGTATATAACAGCTGACTTTGAGGGTCAAAGACGTGACTCTTAGCCCGTGTTGACAAGCATGTGAACACAGTTCAACCCCGCTACTGTGATGTAAGGGTCTACATCTAACATTTCAAAGCAGGATGTCCTCTAAGAAGCAGTCAGGGCACAAACGCGTCCATAGATCAAAATAGATTTCCACCCTTGCCCCAGTCTACTTTACCCCCGACTTAAATTATCCCAGAATGACTATAAATCCAGAACACGGAGCTAACAGAAGCTAAGGGCCAAAACAGCATCTCTTTTAGTTCGTTTATCTACAGCAGCTATAGTAGAGGCACCACAGGATTATTACTGTGTAAGAATTGTAATCTCAATAATCATTTCATTTTAATGGAATAAATACATACACCCCAAAAGGGTGATGAGGACCCTGATAAAAAGTGTGCTGTGCATGTAATTAAAAAGGAATTAAATGTGTATAGCTGTTCACTACAAAATAAAAAAACGTGATTAACTGTGATTAATCTAACCTTGTTAACCTGGTTAATGTTCAAAGTTCAAAACTCTTAGTGTGTCTGTCTGGTTCTAAAAGCAACCCAGGCATCATGGTGGCACATGAATAAATCATATGTTTACAGTATAAGCATATATTTATTAACTGTTAGTTCCCATTTTTATTGCATCATGCATTAATACAGCTTTATACTATTCACAGCTTTAACACTACTTATTAATACCACATAATATTTTTGTGTGTGTTTGCACTACAAAACTACTGACCAGGAGTGAAAACACATTGTACTGGTAGGCCTACATATTGTTCATGGACAATACGTGGTACATCTGATATTACCTCTAAAGCATATGTACAGTAGGCTGAATTCTTGCTCTGCAGGAAAATCCAGCTTAAGCTAGTAGATGTGGAACATGGAAGACAGTTACAAGCTGGTCATTAGCTGGTGTAAACTGGTAAACCATGTTGGACCAGCTACCAATTGGTCATATTAGCTTAAGATGGTCAAAATGTTTTTGGATAGCTGGTCAACCAGCTTGTAAGCAAATATCTTAAATTGGATTTCCCAAAGGGTATAGTGCAATGATGTGCTGCTTATCTATTGTATTCCAGTTAATCAAAATAATTAAATTCATTACAACTTGACTTCAGAATGTCATGTTAGTTCGATTAACAGCATCAAGCAATTTAAATAGGTGTGACAAATAGGCAACTCTTTATGAGTCTTATGACTTAAACTCAACACTGTAACACTACAACTTGCTGGAGTTGTCTTTGACTTTGCTTAGAATAACATGTCATCCGCACTCACTCCAGAAACAAGTTGCAAGCGTTCAAATACAAAGCTTGCGTTGAAATACAAGCCTACACATACTCATTGAAGTGTACATGCTATACCCGGCTGGAAACCGTCTCAAAAGCAATAAATAACAAATCCGACAGCCGTGCTTTGAGGGCGATCGATTACATAAACGCAATTAAAGTGCCAACCATGCCTGTAAACCGCGCGATCACCTGACCGGTGTCAAAGCACGCGGACTGATAGGACTATAATCTGTCTGAAGTTCATCAGCGAAGTTGTTTTAACGCTTTCGCGGCATGCACATTTAAACTACATGGACAACTGTGCAAATATGACACAGAAGAGCAGCAACGGGAAATGAAGAAAGACGGCGACTTACGGAGATGTAAATATGTGTCGTGAGTATCCATTCCGAGTCAGTTTACTGTCGCGGCTCTTGTCCTGGAGGCGCGCGGCACCCCTCTAGATTCCTCTCGCTAGCCCAAGTGAACTACACTCTGCGGCGCTGCTGCTGGCTCGGGGCCCCGCTCAGGGGGAGGCAGGAGGAGGGGTTTCACCAACGACAACAATCAGATAAGACACAGCACAGGCAGATGACTTCAGCACGTGTTAATATGTATACCAATGGTAATAACATATATTATAGTGTTCTTTATAACTTGACCTGCAACAAAAAACTATTTGGATTATATTTACAACTGCATTTGACAAATGCTCTTGAACAAAGTGTCTTGCATTGCATTTTTTTATGCATTTTAACTGAACCAAAGACCTTGGTTTCAGTGGCTACTGAACCATTCAACCATCAAAATTAACAGTATCAAGATGGACACAAAAATGTCAGATAAAATGTTATTTAATATGACTGAATCAACTTCACTAAGTAGATACATTTAAAAAAGTTAAAAGAATCAGGGTTGTGTTTCCCAAAAGTGTTGTAAGACTTGGTTTTAAATGGCTATACTTTTACCATTCAGGCAGCCAAGCTGGACACTGTAAAATGTCTTGGCAGGAACCTAAAAATGTGTGGAAAATGTGGAAAAATATTATTTAATATGACTGAATTGAAAGGAATAGCATTGAGTCACGCAAAGGGTAGAATTTAAGCAATTTACCTACCCGATATAAGAAAACATAATTATTATACAAGGTGGAAAATTCATATGAATTTGTGCAATGTGATTTGTATCAAAAAGTATGATTTTTTTAAAGTATGCATGACAGTCCAAACTTAAGCATCAGTGGGGTGTGAGCAGACGGTATGAAAGTGTATGAATATGACTGTACAAATTAGTCACCAATTTGCCAAAATGTAAAAAGTTACAAATTGTCATGAGAGCATGTTGCAGTTTACGTAACTGTGTAATATGGAATTGGCAAAATATTGTTTATTTTAAGCTGAGTATATTTAAGTATATTTGTTTGCATTCATCATATTAACTGTTAATGCAAAACTGTATTATGTCAAGATTAAGAACTAAAGTAGAAAACAAACAGAAATATAATGATATTTGTGATTGAGATCTGTCTGTCCGCCTGTTTATACTCAGTGTGGTGGCTCAAAGACTCCTCGCAATTCCCCCCAGACTGTTTCTCAGAGTGTGGGGTCATACAAGGGTGAGCTCTCACTACCTCCGAAGGTTATTCAGAAGTCACCAGCATTCACCAGTCTTGAACTAGTGTGGGGTTAGCGCTCAAGATGACCAGTGACTTCACAAGGCCCCTCCCTGTAGGTTTGAGGATAAGCCCACCCCATCCCACAACCCCCACATACTCTGTCCCCTCATTGTAAATGACCTATTAAAGAACACAACACCATGGTAAACAAGATGAATGGCTTTTTTTCCAACCCATCTCACACCAATCAAGGCTTTCTGTTTGAACCCCCTTTCTTAAGTCTATTAGATCATGTTAATTTATTAAAGTCAAACCGAAGAATTAAAATGGTCATTTGTCACTGCTCTCTTTGTGTGGGCTTAATGGTGGCACATGGTGTAAGGCCTGCAATTTGTTATCCTCTCCTTTTTGCTCTTAATGTTCTTTTCTTTTTAAGCCATTTTTGGGTTAAACACGAAAAGAAATCAAGTTGCACTCAGTTTCTTGTGGCATAACTGTCTGCTAATAATAAATTTTATACATTTTTATATACTTTGCTCAATCATTTCGGTGTTATTGACGGTAAACCCAAGTACATCAAAAAATTTAATTTGTGTCATTTACTCATCCTCATGTTGTTCCAAACCTATATGACTTTCTTTTTTATTGAACACAAAAGAAGATATTTTGAAGAATGTTGGTAGCCAAGGAGTTTAAGTTTCCCATTTAATACTGTATTTTTTTCATCCATATAATGGAAGTCAATGGGAACAGAAATTGTTTGCTTACCAACTTTCTTCAAAATATCTTCTTTTATGTTTGACAGAAGAAAATAAGTCATACGGGTTTTAAAATGACATTGAATAAATGAGATTTCATTTTTTGGTGGACTATCCCTTTCATTTAATTTGTTGTTTTATTTAACCTCTTTTAACCTACACCATGTTTCTTTTGCCACCTTATCTCTAAGATAATCAGCCACACACTCTTTCTTACACACTAACAAACACACTCACAGCCAGAGCTGTCAGTGAGCCAAACCGTATGCAGTAATCCCTTTGTATTCACAAACCCATCCAGATATACAATGTGTCCCAGCCACGTCCCACCCCCTACACACCAGACCTAGGCCACCTGCTAACTCTATATCATCCACACAAACACAAACCAAAGGATGAAGACTAACAAGTTTGTGTCAGTGTGTGATTTACTGTAACATCTCTCTTGTTATGCAAGATACTGGTAAGCATGTGCAAATACTCTCCTTCCAAACTGTTCTTCTTCTTTACACTCCACTCATATGTTCTCCAAATCCTCCACAAATCCCCCTCACACAAACTGAGATAAGTGATACTCTTCTGTTGTCACTTGGAGGAGACAATGCTCAACAACTGTGTTCAACACAATTAATCTCGTGAATGTGAATTACTCGCATATGACCGGCTTTCTCAAAACTATTTTATTGATAAAGTCTTTGTGTGTGTAAGAGAAAGAACACGCTGTCCAACAATTAATGCCACGGACCCCCAAATATAATCCCTTAGTCACTATAGTTTTGTCTGTTAACTTAGCTGGGTATTAAACTGATAGTTAGGCTATCAGGAGCACCCCATTATTATCATGACAGAATACTTTATGCTAAAGGACATCATACTGTAAAGTCACATTAATACATTTAGCAGACAGATATTCGCATGGATTTATAGTTTAGGTAAGGAGGGAGAGCAGACAGCAAAACAAAAATATCAGTCATTCAATTCAATAGTGTGTTCAGTAGGCTATTAGGATTTTTCAATGAAGGTATTGCACTAATTTTTATAAATAGGCACTTAAACACAATTTAAAAAATATATATTTGTATGAAAAATAGTTTTTTTACATCTTGGGTATTTAAATCATTTAAAGATAAATAACATTCTGTGCAAACAAATTAAAATGAGGTGGTTGTTTTGCAACTAGATGGACACAGTACTGTTCATAACGATAGACCTGCTGGTGAAGAAGTGACAGGTACAAGAAAAAAACACACATATACGCAAGGGATGGACAGAGATATTGGGGGAAATGAAGAAACGGAAAATGGAAGTGAAGGTGCAGTTCAAGAACCTTAAATTATTTTGCACAGCTCCAGCCTAAGGGTTTAGACCTTTGTGATGGCCATACAAATAATAGGGTTGTTTGTGGTTTCAGAATTTGTTGTGGGTGTATAGGATGGCCTGGATGAGTATGAGATTTCCCAGCCTGAAATTATGTCCCAGTCCGGCCCTGCCCTTAGTTCAGGCCTGGTTTTAAGGGGATGATAGTGAAAGCAAAAGCTAAAGAAACCAAGAGCACCCGCAGCTGAAGCTGTAATAAACAGATTTGGCAAACTATCTAGTGCACATTTGTGTTTGCGCTCCGGAGAGCATAACAGGATTCCATTTACATTTTTACAGCGTTCAGCAATGTAGCCAATCACATACATACCTGTTGATTTATTGAACGCAATGACCAATCAGAGGCATTAAAGTTAGAACCCATTCAACGCTTAAAACCCAAGAGTTTTTGTTCAGTGCTCAGTTCTGCAAGCTCGAGAACCATCTTATTATAACGATGTAAATAAAAGATTAATTGTGCAGTACAGAGAGATTCATTGATTATAACGGAACTTTGTGAGATCGCAATCAGCTAAGACGAATGACATGTTTTCAGGGAGCTCTCTTTGCACGTTTTATGTAGGCTATATGTAATTTATGTTATCCATATTGGCCTATTTGTATAAAACTTTTGTTTTTCACGCTACACACTGGAAAATCCTCTTGCAGGAGATGATTCCCTTCCTAAATTATAACATTAGCTATATGTTTTACATGCATAAAGACCCACTTATGCTGTTTGAGAAAAATGTTAGGCATCATATTATAAGTATAAATATAAATTTTAGGGTAATATTACTGGGTAATAGTAAACCACTTCTTTCTTTAGGACTACACCACTATGTTTGTGAAATGTCTGTTTGTTTACTCTCTTCTGCTCTTTTCTATCTTTAACCTCCATTTTTTATTCAAACCTCTGCTTTCCCTTGAGTGAAAACACACACAGAGATGCAAGCGCAATTGAAGCACAGAAACTGAGGAGTAGGAGTGATTTTATGGAATTGTGATGACAGTTTTAGATATACATTGCTCTTCATGTTTTCCAGCAGGAAGCTCTAAAATTGTACTACATGCTTTGCTTTTATTGCATTGCTCGCTGCTTTTTTCCAATATAAGATCTCTCAAACTAACTTTCAGTTGGGTTATGCTTTTTTGCCTGCTTGTCGATTTAAGTTTGGTGCAGTAAGCACGATTTTGAACCAACAAGTTCCTGTGGCAACATAAAGACATGGTGGTCAAAGCTCTAATCCATTCCAAATGGATGTTCTTGACGTGTGTTACATTAACCTGTTAATCCTCAGACTGTTTGTGGGAGGGGGTTGGTGGCTTTATACACAATTAACCTGAATAGACCATACCGTTTCATGATTGGCTGAAACAGAGAAAAATGCCTCAAAACCCTCTTACTCAAATGAGTTTATGTCATTGGATGCTTTTACCATAAAACACTCAGAATGAATGACTTTTATAGTGTTTAACATGGCTGTTTTTGCCATAAAAAACGATGAGTACAAGCAAAAAGATAATATTATTTTAATCTGACTTGTTGAACCACACACGCTCAGTCTATGAAGGTTTTGTTTCATTTTTAGTAAGCAATGGGTACATTTCAAATAAAAAATGTAGGTTTAGGTTTTTGAAAACACAAGAACAGGCCATGGGTAAAGTGTGTAAGAGGGTCAGATCCAGCTGAGATTGTTGTAGACCACCTCAGGTTAAGCTGACAATGTCCTGGGAAGACCAACAGGATTATAGCTATGAACACCTGTTCCGGATCTTCAAACCAGCCAGTGTGACCTGATGCTCTGACATTTAGAAACTTAACAAGGAATATGAAGAGCCTATGAATAAGCA